AGAGGAATCATTGGTTTGAAAGAATACCTAATTGGAGATTATTTTATTTGTGAGAAGAATGATAGAGATTAATGGAATTGTGCAATCAATGAGTGTTAATGTTTCATCTGCATGAACATATGGCCAGAAAATGTTGAAGACAGATGCGATTAACAAGTCTGCAATGTCTGCTAATGGTATCAGATAGAATCATGATACAGTTTTTTTTATTTTCCCTGAAGGAATTTCTCCCCAGATGGTTTGAATGGTTTGTGTACAGCTCAAAATAGATCTTTAAAATGTGCTGATGAAAATTGCAACACATTTTAAAGCTCTCATTTAGATATTTTCAGCCATCAGTAACCCTTTATCAAGAACAATGTTCAGACATGATATGGTTCAAGTATTACTTTTATCTTCCACAGAAAGTATTTAGAGAAAGTAGATATTTACATGTTACACACTTCTGCCGACAGAAAGTTATCACTACTAATGCTAACCATATGCACGTTGATAATTGCTGTGGAAACATTATTTTATTATTTTTTATATTACTACATGAAAGAAACCAGTCTAAGGAAAAACTACATGCTACATGATACTAATATGACATTCATGAAAAAACAAAATTACAGAGATGGTAAATAGATCGAGATTTGCCAGAGTTTAAGGGTTGCGGAGGGAGGTAGTTAAATAACTGAAACACAGGGAATTTTAGGATAATCTAATTATTGTGTTTGATATATAATGGTAAATAAAAAGCATTAACTATTTTTCAAAACACATAAAATTTTACAACACAATGCAATACGTTAATGTATGCAATTAAAAATATTAGGTCGTCAGTGGAACCAAAATGGAATTCAAAATTTGGCAAGATAATCTAAATATAATGTAACTATATGAAATTAGTAGAATGAGGAATAAAATGTTGATATTAGCAGCTTTGAAAGTGAGTAGAATCTATAAGACTAAAGACAATGGGAGCTTTAGATAAGCACTGTATGCTAGTTGATAAAACTATTCCCTATAGGGATACAGGTCAACAGTTTTGAAAGCATTATACATATATACTGCCATTGGTCAATTGAGCAAATGGGTGGAAGATGTTGGAAGCAATGTTTCTTACATTTAGAATGGAAAGTTACAAATAATCAATGGGAAGTGACTACAATAATAATCCATGTTGTAATGGATTAGAGACACCATTATAAATTTATGTTTAATTTAATATAGACATAACTAGTTACATATAGAAATATTTATAGATGCTTTTATATACACAGGTTAACATACACATATATATATATATACACATATATGCTTTTGGTCTTGCAGCTGAGGTCTAGAAGGAATGTTGCCCAAATAGCAATAAGCACACTGAGTTGCCAGTTCTTGGTTTCTAATACCATTATTCAATTAAAGGAATATGTACACCTTGGAGAAAAGGCTGAAACTAGCACTGGGTTGGAAATAAGCAAGATGAGACTGGAGTATCTTATATGCCTGAAATTATGCTCTGGAAAGAAAAAAAAAAAAAAAGAAGGAAGGCACATATAAAGACACGCACAAAGATCTCAGAATGTCATGTGCAGAAAACAGAAACTAGACCCTTTCCTGACACCTTACACTACAATTAACTCTAAATGGATTAAGGACTTAAACATAAGATGTAACACCATAAACACCCTAGATGAATACCTAGGCAAAACCATTCAGGGCATAGGCATAGGCAAGGACTTCATGACTAAAACACCAAAAGCATTGGCAACAAAAGCCTAAATAGACAAATGGGAACTAATTAAACTCCAAAGCTTCCATACAACAAAACAAACAATCATTAGAGTGAACCAGCAACCAACAGAATGGGAAAAAATTTTTGCAATCTACCCATCTGACAAGGGGCTAATATCCAGAATCGACAAAGAACTAAAACAGATTTACAGGAAAAAAACAAACAACCCCATTCAAAAGTGGGTGAAAGACATGAATAGACACTTTTCAAAAGAAGACATATATAAGGCCAACAAACATGAAAAAATGCTCATCATCACTTGTCATTAGAGAAATGCAATTCAAAGCCATATTGAGATACCATTTCATGCCAGTTAGAATGGCATTCATTAAAAAAATCTGGAAACAACAGATGCCGGAGAAGATGTGGAGAAATAGGAACACTTTTACACTGTTGGTAGAAATGTAAATTAGTTCAACCATTGTGGAAGACAGTAGGGTGATTCCTCAAGAATCTAGAATTAGAAATACCATTTGACAATCCCATTACTGGGTATATATCCAAAGGATTATAAATTGTACTATTATAAAGACACATGCACAGGTATGCTCATTGTGGCACACTGTTCACAGTAGCAAAGACCTGGAACCAACCCAAATGCCCATCCAGTGCATGCTGCATCTCCAATATCATGAACTAAAATTAAATGAGATAAATAAGAAGAATTTACAGTTTATTTAAAACTATAAATTTCTTTTTCAAATGAATATCTGATTTATCTTTATAACAAAAATATATCATTTAGGAAAAAACATTTTATTAGTATTATAAAGTGTGATGCTTTACATTATACTGACTTCAAATTAATTATTTTAATTAGTATCTGTTTCATATCAAGCAGAAAAAAACCTGTATGAAAATCAGGAATAAAAAACACGGGGAAACTGGTATGCTATTACTAAGGATTCTAAATATATTATGCTAAGCAAAGAAAATTTTTAAATAACATAAGATTTCTAAAGAATATAATAGCATATTCTGCCAGGTGCAGTGGCTCATGCCTCTAATTCCAGTACTTTGGGAGGCCGAGACAGGTGGATCATCTGAGATGGGAGTTCGAAACCAACCTGACCAAATGGAGAAACCTCGTCTCTGCTAAAAGTACAAAAAATTAGCCCGGCGTGGTGGTGCATGCCTGTAATCTCAGCTACTCAGGAGGCTGAGGTAGAAGAATCGTTTGAATCCAGGAAGCAGAGGTTGAAGTGAGCCAAGATAGCGCCATTGCACTTCAGGCTGGGCAACAAAAGCAAAACTTCAACTCAAAAAAAAAAAAAGTGTATTTTATAGTATAGTATAATTTATATATTTTTCTGCAAAAAATGGCTATTTATTTAGCAATTTAATATTCTATGTAAGAAATAGTATTTTTTTGCTGAAAAGAATAATCCATTTATTTTTTCAGTGTAGTGTTATAAATGACTTTTTACTCTTTAATTAAAATAAATGAATGTATTTGTTAATATAACTAATGTGCTTGCATCAGCCTCTAGGTCTATTGCTAACATTATAATGCAAGATCATAATGTGACTAAAAATTTACTGCTTCATACATGTCCATGAATGAAGTAATCAGATTCACATATATGTAGATTTAAATCAGAGCAATTGTAACAATTTTTTAAAATGAAATCGATTAACTCCTTTTTTCATATTGCCAGTCTTTCTTCCATCTGTGCAAAAAAAAAAAAAAATGAATTGGTGTCATAAATCTAGAGACAGCAAAAAATACAAGCCCACATATAACATCCTACTTATGCAAATAGTGCATCTGCTGCTATATGAGCAGGCCAAAGAATATTTCCAACTAGACTCATACACCCACAATACTGTGAGAATTAAATCAATCAAAACCACATTCTACTAGAAATATATTTTTAAAGACTTAATATATTCATGCAATATAATTATGTACAAACTGCTTATGAAGTTGTTTTAATTACCCAGCACACATTAATGCCAACTTATATTTGACCTTTCAATGGCCGATTGTCTACAAAACCTTTCCCAAAAAAAACTTATCAGTAGAATTTTGTTTTTTAAAAATGTTTTAACATATTAAATATATTAACTTTGTTCAACCTATTAAAACCTTTCCATATTTAATTACCAAAATTGCAAATAAAATCTAGTAGCAAAATATGAGCTTTTTCTTATATTTAAATATTTTATAGAATAAATTTATCTTTATTGTACATAAGAAAATCTTGGTGATAAATGTAGTGTGTTTCATTTTAATTTTTATTAACAATATTATAAGCAATATTTAAGACACAAATATAAACATGATTTCATTGTTTTTAAATTTTATTTTACATGTTATCACAACCACAGTAGGAAGAAAAAAAAATTAACTAATTTTATTTTTATCATGTGGCAAAAGAGAAACACCGTTCTGTAAATGATATTGTCTGCAAGCTCAAAAGCAAGGGCTTAAACTTTAATGCGTGATGCCTCTACATAACTATATTCAGTGTTTGAAAATTTGCTTATGCACTTACTTAATAACAACAAACTGATTACTGTCTACCAGTTAGTACTAAGTAATACATTATTCATGGGAGAATCAAATTCCAGTGCTTGCTTGGCCACGAACACCGTTCAGTAGCAAACTAATAATAATCACAAAATTATATAATTCCTGAAATTCCATTGATGCTGACTTTTTACTTCTCTCTTCCTCCCTCCCTCCCTCACTCCCTCCTTTCTTTCATTTCTTTCTTCTTTCTTTCTTTCTTTCTTTCTTTCCTTCTTTCTTTCTTTCTTTCTTTCTTTCTTTCTTTCTTTCTTTCTTTCTTTCTTTCTTTCTTTCTTTCTTCTTTCTTTCCTGACAAAGTTTCACTCTTGTTGCCCAGGCTGGAGTCCAGTGGCACCATCTCAGCTCACTGCAAACTATGCCCCCCAGAGTCAAGGCATTCTCCTGCGTCAGCCCTCCCAAGTAGCAAGTAGCTGGAACTACAGGCCCATGCCACCATGCCTGGCTAACTTTTTGTATTTTTAGTAGAGATGGGGTTGGCTAGGCTGATCTGGAACTCCTGACCTCAGCTGATCCACCTGACTCAGCCTCCCAAAGTGCTGGGATTACAGGTGTGAGTCACCTCATCTGGCCCTGACTTTCTTTTAGAAACGGATTTATATTTCTCTATATAAAGTTACCAGATTGTTTACTATGATTATTCCTTTTTTTCTTTTTTCTTTTTTTTTTTTTTTTTTTTGAAACCGAGTCTAGGTCTGTTGCCTGGCTGGAGTGCAGTGGAGCGATCATCACTCACAGCAACCTCCACCTTCTGGGTTGGAGCGATTCTACTGCCTCAGCCTACTGAGTAGCTGGGACTACAGGTGTGTACCACCATGGCCAAATAATTTTTGTATTTTTAGTAGAGATGGGGTTTTGCCATGTTGACCAGGATGGTCTTGATCTCTTGACCTCGTGATCTGCCTGCCTCTGCCTCTGCCTCCAAAAGTGCTGGGATTACAGGTGTGAGCCAGCACACCCGCCCTGTTCTTAACCTAAAAGCATAACAATTTGACATCAATAACTGTGACAAGAGGTTCAGTAGAAAGTGCTGTAAAGGTAAGGATGTGGAAGTACACATACCTTGAAAAATGAACAAGGAGCAGAGAGAAGTGTAGTTTTCCCCTGTGGGTAACCGCCCCCCCGCCATATAGGCACCGAGGATTTAAGAGAAAAACAGTTATACCAGGACAAGAATCCATGGCCCAGGAGGCAGCGTTCAGTATTGTAAAGATACCCGCTGTATGGCAGGCTTGGGGCAACAGCCACTCCTCCTGATAAAGGAGTTGTAGGACCTTGCTCCAGTTCTTGTGGAAGGCTGCCCTCAGACCGGCAATCCCTCGAGCACCCGAGGGCTCAAAACCCCTCCAGATAATCACACCTTGGTGATTGTGAACTTTATCAGCTCTTGTTACTGTGTTAGCTCCAAAGCATCCTCCTGTAGAACCCATTGGAAGCTGCCAACAGGTGGCGGTAGACCCTGACAGCTCTGTCACTGCTGTGTGACTTAAGCATCCTCCTGTAGATATTCTTAGGAGTAGCATGCCCATAGACAGAGGTATTGCACACTGCACCCTCTTCACTGCACACGGCCCACCTCCATGCCTCGATGACCTAATGCGGGTGGACCCCTTGTTTTATTGCTCACAACTTTATCACTATCCTTAAAGATGACTTGTCTACCCTGCCCCCTAACCTAGACCCAATAAATACAGATGCTTCTGAACATGCGGGGCCTCGCCTGTCTCCACTTATAGGTGGCGTGGCCACCCTGAGCCCACCTATGCTTTCTTTTTATTTCTGCGTCCTTTCTCTTTCTCAGATCCTGCACTTCAGCACAGCATAGGGGACACCCCATGACCCTGTGGGGCCCTTAGCCCTACATTCCCCCCACTACAAACTAGGATATATTTCCATATATTATTTTCATATGTATTTCCATACATTATGTAGCCTATACTTTTCAGGGTTCAAAATTCAAAAGTTGCTCCATGATATATTGTGGAAAGTTCCCTTCCCACTTCCTTCACACAGATATTTTATTGCACCTAAAAGCAAACAATTTTACTAAGTTTTTTTAAAAGAAATAAAATTTTGGAGATATATATATCCAAGTAAATTCATTTTTTCTTTTCCTGCTTTCTATTATACAAATGGCATAATATAGTTCAATATTGGAAATATTTTTCATTTTTATAAATTGACATTTATCTTATAAATCAATTGGCATGAATATATAAATACATCTATCATCACTACTGTTCATTTATACAGATCCATAGGAGCTGTATGTATGATGTATGATGTCCAATAGCTTTTGTTTTCAGTTCATGCAAAACCTAGTCGCAAAAGCCAGAAACTACAGATGCTGCCTACATCTGAGTCAGAATTATCTCTTAACTAAGCAATTCAAATAAGCTCTTATTTTGTCTCCATCTTTGCTCCCAAGAAAATCCACTTTCCTAGTCAGTCAGTCATGTAGAATTCTAAAACAGTCATGTCACTTCAGTGCTTCAAATCATAGCCTGGCTTCTCATGTTTTTCTGCTTGTAACTTCCATCTCATCACCTACTTTTTTTGTCCTCTTCCCCAATCTTCAGCCATAAGGTCTATATTTATACTTAGTTGTTATGTAGTAAACCTCTACTAGTTGTCATGATGTGCTTTAGATGCTTGGGTCACTGAAGAACATACACTCCTTTTTTGAGAAGGAGTCTTGCTCTGTCACTCAGGCCGGAGTGCAATGTCAAATCTCAGCTCACTGCAAACTCCGCTCCTGGGTTCAAGCTATTCTCCTGCCTCAGTCCCAGTAGCTGGGACTGCTTTTAATGATGCATGTATTCATAGAGAGAAAGCCAAAAATAATCTAATATAAAGATTATTTATTAGATGATAAGTGCAAAGAATGAGAATAAAGATGGTTAGAGATGTATTGTTCACAGGTTGTCAAAGGAAATTCATGTAGGTTCTGAGGCCGAGCATTCTAGGCTGAAAACAAAGCAGCAACAAAGATTCTGAGACAGAAACATGTTTTGTTTAATAAAGAAATAAAGCCCACTGAATTTGAAAAGGGACTGTGGGTTGGTGTGGGGACAAGGATGAAAGTAGGGAGCATATTAGGAGGCTACTGATGAAAAAAGAAACTGGTGAAAACATTGGTGTCATCAATGCATGCAAGCAGTGAAGTTTATGAATTATGGTTGTGTTTGCTGATGGTTGCATTTGCTACTGACATGTAAGAAATGGTGGAGTAAAGATGATATGAAGATTCTGAACCTGAGCACATGTAAGTCCCAGCAATTAAAGCAGCATAGAAAGAGTATGCTTTTGGGCTTCAGATTTATTTTTTAAGGGGGAGTAGTGCAGAAGAACAGTTCAGTATTACATGGCTATCAATTATTTAAATAGAGTCAAAAATAAAGTTGAATACATGAGTAGAAATTTCATGGAGAGGTGTAATTATGATTTTGGAAATCCTCAGAATAGAGATGACATTTATTGACATGGGGCTAGATGTTTCTTTTATGTGCTTAGTAAAAGGCGTTGGCCGTTATCCAGGGTGTATTTCTTCCTCTGAAAATATACCTCCCCTGAAGCTTCAGCTAAATGCTTTAGGTTGTCAGTGAGGTCTCTCCACTCTTCCTAAGAAGAAAATTTAACATCTTCAGGAGTATATGACATCTGGTTCAGGTCTGAGCTCTGTAGCAACTCCACTGTTGTGCTTTGGAAAACTTGTCATGTGCGCATGAATAATTTAATCTGAGATTATTAAATTATTGACTTTAATACTGCAAGTTTAACTGACTAAAATAATTAACATCAAAATATCATGTAAGATTTGTCCTGTTAAAAATCAAGTTTTACCAGAAGCTTACTATGAATTATAAAATTAATGATTTTATTGGGATAGTTTTAGAGATCTGATACTTATTTGTAATTTGCAAATATTCTAAGATGTCGTTTATTAGAGAAATTATAAGTGTATATGGTAGTTAGAAGAATAGAAATTAATACAAAATATTAGTGAATTGTTGCAGAATCTTCTGACTTCACTGAATAAATACACAATACATATATGCACAAATTAATAGCATCAGAAAGTAATGAAAAGGCTGAATATAAAACAAAGAGCATGAAAGATCCATGTTTTTAAATTCTATTAATACTAAAACTTTCAGATAACATTGTAGCCACATATATATTACAGAATTATAAATAAATGTAGTCCTTGACATAAACCCAGTCTGAGTTGATCGAGGGACATTGGAAGAAACATTAAACAACTAACAGTGTGAGAAAATCCACTGCAATTTTATCAGTTTCTTCAGTATAGTAGCTTTGTTTTCCTACTCATTACAGGATCCAGGGCCATCTGTTTTTAAAATAATACATTGCACATAATGGGAGATCTTTACAAAAAGCTTGAATAAATTAAGGAAGAATTAATTAGCAAGCCCATTCCTGTTAAATGTCATTTAAGCAAATCTTTATTCATCAAAACATACTACTTCAAGTTGATATTACACTAAATAGTTCATATTAATGAAACCCTGGAATGTTACTTTATTTCTGAAATTGAACTTGGCAAAAAATGATTGATTTATACATTGTACAAAGTAATATTCTGGTTCATTCTCTGGAACAACTTGCAACTTAGTTGAAAACAGTGTGAATGCTAATAAGCATAATTCAAGTGAAACGACCTAAATTTCATAAGAATTAGGAACTTTTGGTAATTAATATACCAAACCTTTGGTATTTAAAAGTGAAAAAATGTACTCTATTAAGAAAATAATAAAGGTCAAGATGAGGAAGAATTAAACATACATAATATTGAGCCCTAAGAGATGAGTGATGATAACAGAAAGTAAAGTCAGACAATGCAACAGAACAGCATGGGGTGTTTTCAGGAAGTAGTATTTAATCAATCTGGCATCTAACAATACTGACTATGATTTAGCAAGCTTACTTTACCCTAATGTGAGTGGCTTAATAAAAGGAGCTCAAGTCAGAGGTGGGATACTAGTGAGCAAGTTACTGCTAGAGGCAAGGAGGCAAGAAACAGGATTTTGACAACATTACAGACCTTGTTAATACAAACTAATGGAAAATTTGCAGTAACATAAAATGTAAATCTCTCCAACTTTTAAATTTATAATTGGCAGAGGAGGGGAAGCTATTGAAGATCTCGATGCTTTGAAACTGTATGAGAGGTGTTGTTATTAAGAGAACAAGCTAGGAGAAAAAGTAAAATATATTTTGATGGTAGCTGTTGGATTTAGTTCTGGTTTAAAGTATTTAGACATGAATCTAATCCTGGATTTTAAATAGACCTTTACTGAAAATTCCAAGTGATATTCAGATGCATAAGATTGAACACTACAGCATCTTCTTTCAGTAATTTGATTTACTCGCCCTTATATAAAGAATTGAATTTTTCCATTCTCAAGCCTCCTTTCACCAATTATTCTGACTTAGGACAAAAAGTGGTCTTTGATATTTTCAACTCCAAAATAAGTCAATTTTCCAGCATGCTTAAATATTCTAAGCAAGTTAACTAGGATTCTAATGAAGGACCTATAAGTACATATTTAATATTTAGTAAAGTTATACAGATGTAACATACAAGTGAAACAAGATTGTGTAAACTAAACAAGAAAATAGACTGAAAACATTGTCTCAAAAAGAACAATTATATTTTATTCATGTAAGCTGTTTTCTATCCTGGAAATATCATCCTCCTACTTTCCACCTTCTTTTCACCCTTTACTCTTGTCTTTCAACGCTTAGCTAAAATTAAACTCCTCAAACAGGCTTTCAAAGCCTAGTGTAGAATTATCTCTGTTTTCCTGCTTCATCAGTGTTAACTTTTTATAATCAGATGTCTTTTTATATGACTAAATGTTTATTTCCTAAATCACCAGTAACCTGTACTCCATGATGTTAGAAATGTAAAATCAACATCAAATTTGGTATTTATTAATAATGAGAATTTATTTTTGCATCAATAAATGAATATAGGTTAACAAACCAGTAAAATACACATTTTACAAACTGGTAAATGATTTACTCATCACATACCAATTCTAATTTCAAAGATTATAAAGTATTTATGGTATATATTCACAAATGTGTTAGTATATTTTAATTCTTATTTTATAGCTCAGTTTTATTTTTGATAAATACATAAAACTCTCAAAATCTGAATACTTCATTTGCAAGCTGCTCTTATCTAATACTCTTACCTTCATTTCTTTTTTACATCTTCTACCTTAACAATAGTTAATGCTTTTTTTTTTTTTTTTTTTTTTTTTTTATTTGAGACGGAGTTTCGCTCGTTACCCAGGCTGGAGAGCAATGGCGCGATCTCGGCTCACCGCAACCTCCCCCTCCTGGGTTCAGGCAATTCTCCTGCCTCAGCCTCCGGAGTAGCTGGGATTACAGGCATGTGCCACCATGCCCAGCTAATTTTTTGTATTTTTAGTAGAGATGGGGTTTCACCATGTTGACCAGGATGGTCTCGATCTCTTGACCTCGTGATCCACCCGCCTCGGCCTCCCAAAGTGCTGGGTTTACAGGCTTGAGCCATTGATTAATGCTATTTTTTAACAATTTTGTTATTGTTAATTGACACAGCCCTATTTTGCATCATTCTATTTTGTGCCTATCATATGGAAAAGCAGAAGTGTTATTTGTGACTATTTGAATTTTATAATTAATTTGAACTATCTGAAGTGTGATTTGTTCATGGAGTCATTGGAGAGGAATAATATTATTAAAAGCCAGATGGTGGCACATTGTGCAGCTTAACAGCCAAAAAACCATTTCCTAGTGGAAACATTTTAAAAATGGCTTTGGTTCCCCCATATGATTATCAATTCAAATAATCTCACTTATTTTTTTTTCCTACTTTACATGGGACAAGTATATTGATATCTGAAACTTCATTTGAAAAATTTGGGAAAACATTGATCTTTCTGGTAAATAGACTTTACTTATTAAACATACCTTGGATATCTTATGGAAAATTGAAGGATGTCTCAACTGTATTGCTTGAACACCAGCAATGCCAAGTTACATTTCTCAATAAATAAAACTATCTTTCTTATTTTACTTTAGCCGTTTATTATTTTACTTCATTACAATAGACTTTTCAATGTTTTATTGTTTGATATCTCAGTAGAACCACATTTGTAATCTTCATTTTTAACTGTGCATTTGTTTAAATATGCCATAGTTGGTGCACATGAACAAAAAAATTCAATGTTCTAAGTTGCTATCAAATGCAATTCTATGATTAGCTTACTTTAAAGAGTGCACTAATTTGGCAAAATCATAGAAATGTCTCTTTTTAACAAAATATACCACACTGAGGAAAACATGGGTTTTAGAACATTATGTTTTTATATTTTTTTGACACATAGTTTCACTCTTGTTGTCCAGGCTGGAGTGCAATGGCATGATCTCAGCTCATCGCAACCTCTGCCTCCCAGGTTCAAGCAATTCTCCTGCCTCAGCCTACCAAATAGCTGGGATTACAAGCCTGTGCCACCATGCTGGCTAATTTTGTACTTTGAGTTTCTACATGTTGGTCAGGCTGGTCTGGAATTTCATTCCTCAGGTGACCTGACCACCTCAGCCTCCCAAAGTGCTGGAATTATAGGTGTGAGCCACCGCACCCAGCTTTAGAACATTATTATAAGTGTTATAGATATGGTCTGAGAAAAAGGCTATTTCTTCAAGAAAAAAAAATTGAAAGCACTATTCAGCATTAAAAAAGGAATAAACTATTGTTTCATACTACAATTGTGATAAATCTCAAAATCATTATACTAGATGAAAGAAACCAGGCAACAAAAGTACATACTGCACCAAATAATTTATATAGAACTCTAGAAAATGCAATGTAATCTATGTAATGAATGAAAACACACCAGTGGTTACATGGGAAGGAGATTTTTGGGAGGGAGAGAGGAATTTAAAAAGGTCTTGTTGGAGAACTAGATATGTTCACTATTTTAATTCTGCTGATAGAATCATGAGTATATCCACATGTCAAAGCATATCAAATTGTACCCTTGAAATACGTACAGATTTATTATATTGACAGGGGAGACCCCCTCCCCATCTCCCTCCTCACCTCCGAATGAGAAGGAGGGTAAAGAGAAATAAAATGCCGAAGAGCTTAAATACCTGGTCAGGCAACTTGTTGGCACCACTGACCAGACTGTAAAGAGGCCCAAGGACTGGGAAAATAACTCCCTTTTCTGTTCCCAGAGCCTCTGCTATCTGTAAGCCTTGAAATACTACCAGCCGGAGCCTGGCACTGGATCATATCTTCCACATTTGCATGACCCAGGCCCCCTTCTGAAAATAAATCTATCAACTAATGATTTACTGCCTTTGTCTTATTTCTGTAAACCCTCTCCCCTTCCTGTTTCCGTTCGAGCTGCATGTGAACTAGAAAATCAATAAAGCCAAAGATTGTGAGGTCAAATGTCCAACCAATGGATAATAACACAGTTTCACCTCTGCACCGCTTTAGAGTTGTAAACCCTTAAAAAAGGAAAGAAGCTGCTTCTTCGAGAGCTCAGTGGTCAAAGCATTAGCCTCCCACAGCTCCTGGTCAAATAAAAAGACACTTCCTTTCTCAGTTTGGTGTTGGAGAGGTTTGTTCCCCACCAATCCTGCTACAATGTTTCAACTATAACAGTAGAGCTGTTAAACAGATTGAAAACTACCACTATTAATTAATAAACAAATCTTTACTGAAAAGGGAGTTTACATTGCTGTGAGCACTGATTGATGAATCAAAGAGGAAAAAAGTTGAGGAGGAAGAGAAAAGTAAAATTTACTACCAACTTTTGTGTGTTAAACAGTTTTGTAGCACTTTAAAAGCATTATCTTGTTTAATACTTATATCAAAATATTAACAAAATAGAAACTTAACTGACAATAAGTGAAATAGTTGAAGTTCATGGCCAAATATTTCTGGAAAAGCTTGATTCATCCATACCTATTTATATTTTCAATTTAAAATATTTGAGAAAAGATTAACAGCTCAAAGTGGCTGAATAGGAATGTGTCCCCACAAGAACATCAAATTGAACAACTATCCATATATAAAAAACACCTTCATAAGAATCAAAAATAAGTGACTAAACACAGCACATATTCTAACTTCAAATCACTGAAAGAAGCAGTGACAAGAATAGAAAAGACAGTCTTGAATTGCTGACTCCACCTGTTCCCTGTCTCATAGCAGTAGCCACTTGGTGCTGGGAGAATCTATGCACTTAGGAAGAAAGACAGCACAGTGAATGTAGAACTTTGCATTGGAAATCAGCATGTGTCATAGCAGAAAGTAACACTGAGCAGAACTTACTCAACACCTACAGAGGAAGCACTTTTAGACCAGCCCCAGCCACAAGAGAATCACTCATCCTAGCAGTCAGATCCTGAGTGCCCTCAAGTCCCACCAGCACGAGTTATGAAGTTCTAAATCAACTTGAAAGGCAATCTAAGACGCAGGGGCTGCAACTCCTGGGAAGTTCTCGTGCTGTGCTAGGCTCAACGCCAATGTGCTTGAGGGGTTCTGTGACCTAATGAAACATCAGCCAGTGTGGCCAGGGGAGTCCTTGTGTCACCACTCTCCCAAAACCAGACAATGCAGCTCAAAGCTGTGGGAGAGACTCCTTCCTTCTGTTTGAAGAGAAAAGAGGAAAGAGGAAAGAGGACTTTGTTTTAAAATTTAGATACCAGCTCAGGCCTGGTAGGCTAGGGCAATAGGAAGAGTCCTGAGACCTCTGTTGAAGGTTCTAGATTTGGGATGACATTTCTAACCACACCCTGGCTCAGAAATCCAGACAGGATTCATCATCTTCTAACTAAAGAGCTCTTGGCCCCCGAATAGCCAGCTTTGGTAACCAGGCAGTACTAATCATGGGCCTTTGTTGGGACTCAAGCATGTGCTGACTTTGAGTGTGACCCGGCACATTCCCAGCTGTGGTGATTATGGGAAGGGACTCCTGATTGAGAAAAGGAGAGGGAAAAGTAAAGGAGAGGGAAGAGTAAAGGAGAAACTTCGCCACAAAAGAGCACCAAGTGGGCACTTGAGATCCCCAATTCTGGATCTTGGCACTTGGTTGGCATTTCTGGACCTGCTATGAGCCAAAAATGAGCTCACTTTCCTGAAGGGAGAGTCGCAGACCTGGGAGCATTCACCACAAGCTGAATAAAGAGTCCCTGGGCCTTGAGCAAACATCAGTGTTAGTCCAGCAGTACTTTCGTTCCAATTTTAGTATATGTGCTGCCGAAGAGAGCATGAGTCCAGCAGTACTTTCAGTAAACTTAGGGCAGTAGTGGCCATGGGAGGGAGTTTGCTACTTATGGAAAGAGAGGAATGAGTGAGAAAGACTTTCTCTTGTGTCTTGGATGCTAGCTCAGTTGTAGCAGAAGGGAGCAAAAGGTAGATCAATAAGGTTTTGGACTCTAGGCCCTGACTCCCTAAAGGCATCTCTGGACCAACACAGAGCCAGGGGGAATTCACTGCCCTGAAAGGAAATGGACAAGCCTCACTGGCATTGTCACCTGCTGACTGTAGAGAAGCAGGGCCTTGAACAAACTTAGGCAGTAGCCAAGCAGTGGTTTCCATGGGCCTTGGGTGAGAAGTAGTACCATGCTGGCATCATCTCTGATCCAAAACTGTCTCAGTGGTGGTGGCCACAGCCATGTTGTGTCACTCCTCTTCCAGATCTGAGCAGTTTAACACAGAGATTCCCCATTTGTTTGGAAGAAAGTAAGGGAAGAGAATCAGAGTCTCTGCTTTGCAATCATAAGAGCTTAGGTGAGCTAAGGCAGTAAAGAGACATTACCGGGCTTGGCGTGCTCCCGATTTTGATATGGCTGCAATGACCAAAAATTAATATAAAAACACTAAAATCCCCTCCCCTGTCCTTTTTTCTAAGACAAAGTCTTACTCTGTTACCCAGACTGGAGTGCAGTGGTGCAATCTCTGTTCACTAACACCTCTGCCTCCCAGGTTTAAGGAATTCTCCTTCCTCAGCCTCCCAGGTAGCTGGGACTACAGGCATACACCACCACACCTGGCTAATTCTTGTATTTTTGATAGAGAAATGGTTTTGCTATGTAGGCTAGGCTGGAGTCGAACTCCTGACCTCAAGTGATCTGCCTGCCTCGGCCTCCCAAAGTGCTGAGATTGCAAGCATGATCCACCGCACCCAGCACCAAGTCCCTCTTAATACCTGGAAAGCCTTTCAAAGAAGAATGGGCATAGATCATTCAATTCTTCAACTGAATATTCCCTTGTCTAATGTAATTTATTCTCTCATATAATTATAGCATAAAATTGAATTAAATATTAATTGTATTAAAATATTGGGAAAGCTAAAGTTTACTTATTTGAATAGATGTAATTAATCAACCCTTAACTGGCCTGATCAAAAGAAAAAGAGAGAAGAGAATACAAATTAAAAATATCAGGATTGGACAGTGGGAGATGTTATCACCAGAGATCTTACAGATTTTAAAAAGACATTAAGAGAATAATAAAAAAACCTTAATAACTTACATGAAATAAAGTTTTTGAAAAATAACTTGCTCAAACTGACACAGTATGAAACAGATAACCTGAATACTCTAACAACTGTTAGATCAATAAAATTCACCACCACCTTTCCCACAAAGAGAAGTCTAACACAAATTGTTTCATTGCTTTCAAGTGGACATGGAACATTCTCCAAAAAAAAATTTATTATTGGTCATAAAACAAGTGTGAATCAATGTAAAGGAATTAAAGCATACACATATATTATTGGACAAGCTTAGAATTACGTTGGAAATTGATAATTTAAAGTATCTCTAATACAATTTAAAAAAAACACTATGAAGATTTATGGTGACAAGAAAATCCATAATGAAACAATTTTTAGTGAAATCATATGAATTCAACAAAGCAATATTTGTGGGATACAGATATAGCTATGCTAGAAAAGCATTATATCAAAAAAGTAAAAGATTCACAATCAACCATCAAAGATTACAACTTAATATTCTGGAAAATAAAAAAAAAATCAAAGCAAAGCAAATAGAAGGAAGTCCTAAAGATTCGAGCAGAAATAAATTAAGAAGTTGACTACCAATAGTACAGAAGGTAGAATTCTAAGGACACTAATACGCCTGTGTTCTGGTACACATGCTGTGGGAAAAGTTTATAGACTAGAAAATGACAAAATAAAACACATAAATTCATTTTTATATACAAATTATGTTGCTTTTTATTCAGGTAAAGATAAATAATAAAAAAGTACACCCAATGTAGGTCCATTAGCGCTACACCATCCTACAGTACCATTAAATATTTAGAATATATACAATGAATAAACAACCAACAGTGAACACCTGGATTTTCAAATACTGTGTTTTACAAAAACAACATGTATTATTTATTTAACTGTTTCATTTCATTCCAGGTCAGTGGAGAAACAATCATTTTTCATTAAAATAGATTTATCCTTAATTTACTATTTTTTGGGTGTAAGCAAGAAAATAGAAACTTAAGAATATCCAAATGCCCATTGATGATAGACTGGATTGGAAAAATGTGGCACATATACACCATGGAATATTATGCAGCAATCAGAAATGATGAGTTTGTGTCATTTGTAGGGACATGGATGAATCTGGAGAACATCATCCTCAGCAAACTGACACAAGAACAGAAAATGAAACACCGCATATTCTCACTCATAGGTGGGTGATGAAAAATGAGAACGCATGGACACAGAGAGAAGAGTACTAAACACTGGGGTCTATTGGGGGGAAATGGGGAGGGCCAGTGGGAGGGGGAGGTGGGGAGGGATAGCCTGGGAGAAATGCCAAATGTGGGTGAAGGGGAGAAAGGAAGCAAAACACACTGCCATGTGTGTACCTATGCAACTGTCTTGCATGTTCTGCACATGTACCCACAAACCTAAAATGCAATAAAAAATTTAAAAAAAAAGAATATTGAAAAATATGATTTTTTCTTTTCTTTTCAAAGATGAGAGTACTTATGATTCTGACAGTTAAATAAAAGTAATAACAGAATAATATTCTTGATAATATTAGAAAGTTACATCAAAAGACAACTATAATTAAATTTAGATTAATTATATTATCATGTTTATCTCATATTGGTTTTAAATATATTTGAAAGGAAATAAAATTCAAATTATATAATTTAATTACTAAATTTCTTGAGTAAAAGTGATATAGTATTTTTAATTGCTCTAGAAAATAATAATGGTCTGAA